AGAGCTGGCATTATCCAAAACCATACAAACCTCATCACTTGTAATTCTTCTAACTTCTGGATACCATATGTTAGTTACAAAGTAGTTGAAAAGAATACCCGTCATCCATGCATCGCTCTGTGACCGATAGCATCTTTCCAAGTCGTCTTCTCGGGATGCTAGTGCAAAGGCTCTTGTGTTCTTCTGCTTTCCCAAGACGAAAGCTGGTAGAATGTGGTCCCCTGTCGCGTTTGTGCAAACTGTAAATGTGAGTCTGTTCTTGTTTCGCATTGCTTTAACGCCTCTGGCCTCCTTTCGATCTCCCTCGGGCGCCAAATACGTAATGTTTGGCAACAGCTGGTACATGAATGCAGATTCATCTTCATTGTAGATTCGCGAGGGGTGGTACCGCACCAACTTTACACAGAACGCAATCATTTCATCCCTCACTGCTGTTCTATCGACAGAGCCAGCCTCCCCATACAAACAAATAGCGCCTTGCATTCCCGACCTCCTCAGGAACTTGTGAAGCCAACCCCGACTCACCCTGAAGTCGTCCTCACTGAGACCACACTTCCCACGCAACGCCCTTGCCTTTGCCATAATAACAACACCAGTAATAGGGACACGATGCGTCCGTGCTAGTCTTACGAAAGACAAGAGATATTTTTCCAAAGCTGGAAGCTTTCCCTCCCTGAGTCTTTTCCTTTGATCGAGTTCATGCTGACTCAGAGCCTCGCGTCTTCGGTAAATCAACTTGACTGTTGCGAGAGGAATTTGAAAATGCTTCGCGGTGTCCAGGAGAGATCGCTTCTCACTGTCGTCGTATTACTGAAGGACCGATCTTTTGAAAGAAGCATCGTAGCTTCTCTTCTTAGATCCAGGTTTCTGCAATCGTCGTGACTCCTGGGCGGCAGTACCCGTAATGGTCAGCTGTTTGTATGAATTGCTCATAATGTCCGGGTCTGTTGGCGTTCAGTGTGTTTACTACAGGATACAATGTTCCAAACAAGCTCAAGCCTACCTTTATGGATCTTTAGCATGGTTTTCCCCGCAAAAAGTGATTCGTTTCTAACGACTAGTCGTTTGACGCCAGTGAGTAGCTACTCACTGGCGTCATTTATATACTCGTTACAATAAATCCGATGCACAAAAGGAGACGGTTGAACACTCCTTCATAACATTATACTGTTCAATAGACCATTCACGCAAATTCCCCCGCACAGCCAAAAGAGCCAATTAATTGCTGAGAAGACAATCATTTTTGATATATGATCAATTAATACATAAAAACCACACTAACTGTAAATATGGTTGGCATTCTCGACAACAAACCCACCAATCGACGATACGTGGTCCATTCCTCGACTTCGAGTGAATGTGAAAGCGCGGCATGTGAAATCGTAATGCCCAAGTCATTCGACAAACGACTGGGCCACATCGCAATGCAAGAACTCAACGCGTTTCAAAAATTCTGAACAGGCGATTCTCCCGCCCTCCTACAGCGCACCTCTACCTCGTCTTCCACACTTTGACAGCCCCACTTCCACATCTCCCCCGATCCCTTCCCACACCTCGCCATCTCCACACCCCAACCCCCCACTCCCTTGCCAGCTCCTGCCCCACACCCCCGTCGCTTCACTCCTCAAAGGCAACTTCCCTTTTCGGCCTCGTTCCCCTTCTCTTCCCGGTGGTGCCCTTCCCTTCTCTGTCTCCTCTCCCGTCCCCGCTGTCAGCTTGGACCGCTCATTTCGTGCTCTAATCCCCCCTTTTATTTCCGTGTCACGCTCCCCGTCACTGCCAGACGAAACAGTATGGCTTGCTTCTCGTCCCATGATGCAGCACAAGCTCTGCAACTGCTCTCCACCGCCTCTATAGATCGCCAAAATGAGCTGCAACTGTTCGAAAATGACCGCCCGGACGACAGTGACGAGGATAACGGGACAGATGCCCCCATTTTCGACCGCTTCTACGATCAAGGAGGTGCGAAGGCCATTGTTGAGATGACACATTTCAATCCAGCCCAATTCATTGGAATTTGGGCTGGGTTTGAAAGGCTGGGTCTGGAGAACTACAATGCTGGCCGAGGGCGAAAGTGCGCGCAGACACCTAAGGACGTAATGTTTATGACTCTAGCAGTTCTCAAGCATGGGGGTACTTGGGACTTTTTGGCAAGAATGTTTGGCCAGAAAACGTCTGCTTTTGAGAGGATGGTGCTTAAGTTCATACAGATTCTATCTGAAGCTGTTTATGCGCACTACGTCACAAACCAGACAAAGAGATGGTCAATGAAAGAACTACAAGCGAATGGGCACGTTTTTAAAAACTACCCCATGGCACGCTACGCGACGGATATCACATTTCAGCCTGCTTTCAGGCCATCCGGTAGTGTAGAGGAGGGAACGCGGTACTACAGTGGAAAACACAAGTTATACGGATACAAAGTCGAAGTGTCAGTCACGCCAAATGTGTTTGCTGTGGGTTCCAGCATGCATGAGCCAGGGTCGGTTTCGGATCTCGTTATATTTCAAAACATGCAGTGGTTTCATCGGCGCACCCAGCGCAAGAAGACTGATGAATTGGAAACCGTGGACAACGGGCCGCTGGCAGAGAGATATCCTAATCAATGAGCTATTCTGGCGGATAAAGGCTATCAAGGGGCTGGTGAGTTTCGCCGAATAATTCACCCCAAGCGTAAACCTCAAGGTGCATTTCTGTCACCTGCGGACGTGTCGACTAACAAGTTCATATCGAGTGACCGTATTCTGGTAGAGAATTGTTTTGGGCGTCTATGTGTGCTTTAGAATGTGCTTGGGTCTAAGTGGAAGTGGTCAGAATCAAAATATGACTCAACTTTTCGTCTGTGTCTGGGTCTGACCAATTTTCACATACGATGGAAGCCGCTTCGTGATGACGACATGATTTTATATCAGCAGCTAACTAGTAGATGGTATCATATTGGGAACTCGCAATTGGAACGGCGTCGACGGATACAGAAGCGCTATCGTCAGAAACGAGCGGACTTCGTGGAACGACGGTTTCGTGCGGAAGGTGTTCGGGAGCTGTTTAGACGGGAGCACAGCGAAAGCATGTAGGGGCAGCGGAAGGATACTGTAACTGGATAAAAGTATGATTTTTGCAATTGATTTTGGCGCATTGCTGTAGAGGCCGTTGAGTTTGCTGTTGCTGTTCATTACAGCGTGTTTCGGATCACCAACAAAACGACCGAGACATCCCGCAGTCGCCCCTGTTCTGCGCATTTCCCCGGCATTTGCGTTGGAGACGTAGTAGTTTGGCAATGCGCACTGCACGAAATGCTGCGAGAAGAGCCCTGAGGGCAGCATTGCTGTACGGTGTCACACATTTTATCATACCTCTCTACTGCCCGTTTCAGGTGTGACCGCTAATGAATCCGTTCCATGGTAACGAATCCACCTCATTGGCACACACAGGGCGGATTCATTAACGAGGCACCACTGTATTGTATTCCACCGGTGGGGATGTTCTAACAACAGCGCCTCCTCCCGTTCCCATGATCAAATAACTGTGGACAGGCTGTGTCAACGGACAAGGATCTCGTGACTTCTACAAATATTCCTTCATCAGCACTGCAATTTTGCGAATATTTTCTTCCGTGTCGTGTCGCCGTTAAGGCTCATACACCGGGGCAGGACTCCTCGGCTGTATTCTTGCGCTTATGGTACCCAAGGGTACTCTCCTTTTCTCGAACAGCCATTGCATACGTATGTGATTCTGAATGTGCATGCCTTCCATTCCAAGGACGCTGAAGACATAACCGGACCAAAATTCATCCAGTCATCTTGTGTGTGGAGCATTTCGACTAGGGATCCCCGCCACATTGTATACCACTTCCAATTTTCTCTGCGCCCTGTTCTGGTGTCAAAATGCGAGACAGAATACGAATCTCCGTTTCGTGATGTGAAGACAGAGTCGCAAAGATTGTGGGAACTGAAAAACAAATGATAGCAGCGAATTTGAGACAAGTTGTCGGCAATTTGCCATATTGTGCATGCCGTTCCAATGAGGAAAATTGTTCGTCTCATGCATAACAGCCAGGAAGCTTCCTCCAAAGTTGCCTTATCAGAGTATCAGCAAGTCCGGAGGTTATGCCTCTGGACTAGTTGGCCTTCAGGAGGATCCGCGACACTGCCCGTCTGTTCATCCCAGATTAACCCACCAAACATGTTCAACTTGTCAGAATATTATCGAGAGGTGCATCAAGGTGCATGGCTATCATTGATGCCTAAGCTTCCAGAAGTACACGTTCAGCTCCTTGGTTCACGTAAAAACAGCACATTGCTGTCCACATATGGACATCAATGGACACTTATGGAGCAATGTGGGGCATCCTGCAGGGGGTACGATCATGCACACTATGTCACTGTTTTGAGTCCATCTAGAGAGAGCTCTTGCGTGATCAACGGCTTCTCGCAGTCCTGTCATTCTGAAAAATTTATATTCTGAACTTTTGGCTTCCCTGACAAGCTAACTGTAGGTAGAGAGGTAGTCAGTCGTACTGTATACCGCGTATTCCAGATAGTCACAACTCCGTACTGCAGATGTACAGAAAAAAAGGTTCGGGTTCATATCATTTGCTGTCCGATACTCAGGGACTTTAGAATGCGTCCCAGAATAGATTTCGATTCCTCATGAATCGCAACGACAATAGCATCGGCGGTTGGCTGCTCTCAAGGCAAAAGAGAAGTTCTGCACGTCACGACACCGCAACACCGGAATACGGGCGGTATTGCACAGAGAAACTTCACATGGCTTAATTTCAAGTGCTTGTCTCCAGCAATGCGTTGGCCTTGTCAAGGAAACATATTAAATCGTCGCTTGATGACCCCGGGCACATAAGTCGAAAGCCGAAGAAGAAAGGCTTCTGCTCTCACGCTTTCAATGCATTCTGACGTCAGAGGCTTCAATCTGAATTTTGTCGCATAGTACTGCTGTCTGCACTCCATGATATGACCATGAGGTCACCTCGTGTGGTTCGCGGATTAACACCTTCAGAGCCAATTTATGCTACTGTAAGGATTTTTCCGTCGAAATCCTAGCGACACGACTAGCAGTGGAGTCTGTAGGGAGAATTCTTCTTGACAATAGTTACCAACCCAGCCATGCATTACGGTGCCTTCCCCGCCTTGTCCTGTACTTCCATAGTGGCAGCCACGTTGGTAAGGTTGCCATCATCAGCTCGTCTGATCAACAACGCGCATGCGACGAACTCGCGATCGGCTTTCCCCAGCTCCTTCATGGATCTGAAACTAATCCCTCGTCCCTTGGGTGATACACCAGTCATTGCACACAGTCGAACCCATAGGCTTCTTACGTCTGTCAACAAAATGCCGTTCTTTTTCTCACTTTCAGACTTTCTTTCCGCATAAAAATAAGCCACATCGGCAACACCTACCCATCCATCCCCATCTTGATCCAATACCGAAAACCAGTATTTTAGCCCCTTGTCCGTCGCAGACCCGACCAAGGCCAGAAACATTCTGACAAAGTCCAATTTAGACATGCCGACCACGCTGGCGTCATCGGTGCAGCCATTCACCGGGACTCGAGTTCGACTCACGTATCGGTTGAAGATAGTGTGTATTGCTCTATCCGTAAGAGTGCCACGTTCGCAGCAGTAATGTGTAACAGCTTGGAGAGACAGAAAATTGTCGTCTTTGACAGCGTTTTTGGTGTCTTTATCAATCGCTTTGACTGCCTTGATGTCTTTTAGCATCCTATTCAATTTCCCAAGTTGCAAATTCTTCAAAGCACCCGTGTAAGATCTCGAGTATTCGTATCCTTGAACGCCCTGAAAAAAGCCAGCGTCTCTCAGACACGGCTCGCGGAAGCGGTGGACAAATCGATCAGGGTTGATGGCGTACAAGACGGTCTCAACGACGACGTCCATGTTGTTTTCAAAGAGCGGGGCGCGCCTTTTTGTGAGCAGTAAGCGAAGGACTAAGGCAATGGTCTCCTTTGAAATGCATCGAAAGCTCTGCTTCCATGAATGATGCCACTGCGGAGTTTCCTTGGACTGACGGGATTCGTGCCAATACAGAATATTAAAGATCCTGGCGTCCGGGGAAGCGCGTGCAATGTGGCAGTCATAAAAGCGAATCAAGAGTTGATGCGTAAAATCATTGGCGAGATAGGCTTGCAAACCAGCGGCCTCAAAGATGGCGAACGGGACACCCCACAACCTGCGGACGGCGTCGAGGTCCAAGGCGGGCTGGTCGGCGAGGGCGAGGGTGAGGCGGCGTTCATTGGCGATGAGAGGAAGCTCCTTGACGCGCTTTAACAAGCGGACAAGATGGTCCCTGGAGGCGTTCTTGCGCTTGAGCGAGTCGCGGAGGTCGAGCTTTCTCTGGGGGCCATTCTGGTATGACTGGATGGATGGCGGCGGTTGAGCGGGGCTCTGTTTCTGCTTGGTCGGGGCGGGTTCAAGCTCAGCGAGGGCGCGGGCGTGGGCGCGCTTCGCGGCGATGATCTGGGTGGTCCCGAAGTTACTGCGGCCCCATATGTCGGAGAGCAGCGCGGCGTAGGAGCGGTCGGGCGAGGAGATGCCGGCGCGCTTGACGAGGTCCGCCGAGATGAGGCGCACGGCGTCGAGGAGGGCGCGATTCTCGAAGCGGCGGGGGGCGACCGTGCGCGGCGAGGGCTGCGCGTACATCGGGGCCGCCCGGGGTGCAGGCGCGAGGTGCAGTGTGGTGTGGAGGGTGGAGGGTGGAGAGTGGGAGGGGGGAGAGGAATGGGAAGGGGGGGGGCGGGTTGGAGTTGAAGAATTGTATTGATTGGGGAAGTGCGGCACGATGAGAGGTGCAGGTTCAGACAAAGACTCGGCAACGGATGAGTGGTGAAGCGGCGCGCGGAAACGCCTCCAATGCAAAATTTCGGTACACTTCCGCATCGGATTATCGCTCCACTCCCCTCCTTTCGCCCCTGTTCAGCACGGGGAGCAATACCTTCCCTAATTACATTCTCGAGACTGCTTCTGCTTCCTTCTAATTCCATCCCCATATTAGTAATTCCTACAAACTTTATCACACCTTCGGCTTGGCATACCCCTCATCAATACTGTCGACGTAACACGTCACCGCCAACAGTGCATACTGCAGCACAGTGCCAAATCGTCACTCGTCCACTCCCATCTCGCCACGCCCCAACCGTCTCGCCACTCTAAGCTCCTTCCCCAACAATCAGCCTCCGCAGCCTGCCAATCCCCCTTCTCACCCGGCCCATCTGCACTCTAGCCCCCCTAACGATCGCGGGTCCCTCCTCCCAGCTCGCCTCTCTTCTCTCCCCTCCCATCTCGGACCCGCGTCTGTTCGCCGTCATCCACGCCCCGGTCGACATCCGCCTCCCCTCTTTCTTTCCCGCCGCCCCGCGCCGACGCACAGTCTGCACCCGCGTCCTTGCTGCGGAACCTCCCTCCCACCCGTGCGCGAACGATTTTGCCCGCGAGCGCACCCCGAGCGGGGGAGCCCGTGCTATTGACTGCGCCAGCCGTGCCGCCGCGCTTGGCCCACAGTCATCGTACCCGGACACGCCCGGCCATGCCAATGCAGCCACCCCTTTCGGCACTGTTCTGTCCTCTGACGTCTGCAGCGTAGTTTTGCCCTCTCCGACCTCTGTCGCGCCTGGTTTTTCGTGCATTGCTGAGGGCCATGTTCCAGCTTCTATTTTGTCAATCACCCCCGTCATGTCGTCCTCTTCGCTGCCCGCACCTCCTTGGCTTATCCCAGCCATTCCTCTCCCGCTCGCCTCCTGTTTCGGGCTCGCGATCGGCGTCACTGAAGAGCCGATGGAATTATCCTCCTCGCGCTGCTCCACGCCTGGCTGAATCTCAATTAGAGTTGCTTTGTTATTCCCAGTATCTGCTTTGTGCATCTCGCACTTCATTGTATTTTCTTCGTCTTTGTCCTTCGTTTCGATGTCCTGGAACGTTTCTTCATCTTTAGCGGAGTTTGAACTGCCGTGATCCTTTTCCACGCCGCCACTCTCTTCATATCCCGCATTCTTCTTCACAACAGTTTCTTCTGCCTCTCCCTCTACTCGATTCTCGAAAAAAGCCCGCATATGAGGCACTTGGAAAGATAAATCCACCGATGTAGATGAAGAGCATTTGCTCGTCTGGTATTCCTCAGAGCTTGGCGAGTCGAAGTGCTGAATCAAGTCAGATATGCTGATTGGCGACTCTGATGCCTTTGTCTCCTCACCCCACTCAATTGCACATGTAGGCTTATCTCCATGCTGTATGCCAACAGCTCCTGTGAAAGCACTATTTCCAGAGCCCCTCTCCAGCCTTTTTTCTGTTCCTTCATTCTCCCGTCCCTGTAACAATTCAGATTTTTGCATAATCATTACCATGCTATCCTTCGCTTCAATGCCGTCCCTAGCTGATTGAGAATTTGATAACGCACAATGAGCCTGTCTAGGCGAAGTTGCAACCACATTCGCGTATAGATCCCCTGCGTGCGGGCATGGGTTTGTTGCGTCCACCTCTATAACCTTTGCATCAGGACTAGTACCTGATAGACTCAAAAACTTGTCCCCGGTCGTTTCCTCCGTCTTCTTTTGGGTATCAGCACTCGAAGTCTCTGCTAACCTCTTACGTTGGAATGAACGGTCTTGCGGTTCAGCAATTGTTGACTCAAAGGGCTCTAGTGGCATTCTGAAGACCTCTCTCTGAGCCAATGCTGCCTGGACAAGTGAAGCGGAGTCACTTTCCTCTCTTTTTGTGATGGTGTGTGAGGAGGTGGAAGCTTCTGTCATGTTTTTTCCCGGACGAGCCAAAAAGGCCCGAAGACGGAATGAAACGCCACCCACTAAAGACTTTTGAAATTTGTTTTGTTTGCGAGCTTTTTGACTTTCGTGTTGCAGTCGATGTTGTGTAATGTACGAAGGAAATTCCTTCCTCCGACGTTCGGAAAGAAGTCTTGTGAAATTCTGCTCGCGGTGGCAAATAAGGCGCAGAAGAGGTGCATCAATTTCGAGATCTGGCACCGCGGAATCTAGGGTTTCCAAAGAAAAGCGCTTAAACTGAGCCTCAAAATCAAAGGAGTCTTGTGAAGGCTTGCGGGTAGCAACTTTTTCGGAAGTGGCCGACGGCTGGTGCCTGGCTCCACCGTGGCTGTCGATAGAGACCTCTATTTTGGTCTGTGCCTCCTTGTGTAGGAAGCCGCTCCCTGACAATGAAGATTTGCTTTGAGTCTTGTGTCGCCAGGGTTTGGTTAACGATTCTCCTTCTCCTCGAGATGGCCAGCGAAGCAATGAAGACGAGAGGTCGATGGCACGTACCTGGCACGGGAATAGCACGCAGCTAAAACGCAACTGGAAACGGTCTTTGCGTTCCTGTATATCTCTTTCACATGGACTTTGACGGGATGGCAGATACGTGGTCGCAAGATGACCAAAAGCAGGGTTTTAAGCGTGTTTGTTACAGGGGAGGACCTGTGGATTTGGAGTGCAAACTCATGCAAGTTCTGCCAACGGAAGTTGACAGACAAACCAAACTGTGATTGATACAAAACAGCCGAGCGGTCGACCGGGGCCGCTCACCATGACTGGACAGCACTCTGGTACGGGAGCAAGATAGCAGTGACCGCAAAGATACATCGTCATTAAAAGGGTGAAATGAAAAAAAAAAACATGGACGCACGCTCGGGCTTCTGAGGCCTTGTTCCCAATGGGAAAGCTGCGGGCCATTGATTACGTTTGCTCGTCGTCGGACGGATTCTGAATCCCGAAGTGAAGACGACGGCCGATGTATCCATTTCCTGAAATCACGGGGACAGAGCATGAGGTTTGATGAAAGTACTCTGCATAAGGCTTCGATTGTTTCGGGGCACGTTGGTTGCCATTGCATGAGAGGGGCTTTTTCATTTTATATAAATACCTAAATAAGCCGCGATGTTCCTCGCACTGGACCGATCTGGTCTGGGCTTCTCACAGTGTACGTAACCAGCTCGACCCGAAGTAGAAGGGTTCTGGTGATGTTGACAGAGTATCACCTGGGCCACATCTGGACTTCTGATGATCGGGTGCTCTCTGCAGAGGCCCTGTGCACATGACGTCATCTGGGCTATGCAACAGTATTAATATACGGTGGTCTCGAGGTATTAAGAACCGTTTCGAATGGCAGGTGCGAATCCAAGAACAGAACGTGTTTTGGTATTTCCCCAGATGATGAAATCATCAACTTTCCGTCACGCAGCAAAATCACGATTCCCTCTGCAGTGTCTACTAGCTATTAAACACTGTCTGCCCTTCAAAGGGTAAATTCTCCAGACAGTACTTTTGGACAAGTAGTAACTAGGATAAGTGTAACAATGCGAGGCATAGTCGTTTACCGAAATGTGGTCGTTGTCTTGGTGCTGCCCCCTCTAGCTACTCGAGAAGTGCCACTCACTTCTACGACTACACATGAACCAGAAAGGGAAACGTTCATACACTGTAGCAGACCTTACAATAGTGGCGATAACGTAACGCCCAAAATTGACTACAAACAAATAACTCTAAAAGGAAACGCGCAAATTAGGAAGTGTTGTTGCCGAACAGGGGATTAGTCCGGAGTCCCGTTACAGACAGAGAACTCTCTCTTGTCGGAAAACTCCGTTAGAGGGTCAAAACGTTGACTCGAGAACCAGGCGCGCAAGAGCCTGAACTGTTCGCAAGAACTTGAGTCTTCTGAGAACGACGGTACGACTACCCGCCTTGGAGGGAGTCTACAGAAGT